TATATATATATATATATATATATATATATATATATATATATATATATATATATATATATAGTATATATATACACATGTATGTTTGTATGTATGTATTTATATATGTATGTATTTTTATAAATATATTTGTATGTATACTTATATATATATATACGCATGTATGTATGTGTGTATGTATTTATGTATCTGGATGGTACTGTGACTTACGCTCCACTTTGACTGACATGATCTTCCGGCCTCACTTTTATGTCTATTAGCTATACAATCGCCCAGTACAGCTCTATACAAACTCGATATAACGCTCAATTTCCTTTACGTACAAATAATGTAAATATTGTACGCATGTGTTTTTCTATAGAAATTACTATAGTAATGGTGTGTAGTGTCATGCCATAATTTTCACGGATAGTGTCTGTAGTGGGTGTAGTCGGCGACTGTAGGTGGCTCTTACAATGGTCGCCAATGTAGGCTGCTCGAATTGTAGGTCGCAGTTTAATAATTTTAGGTTGCTCTTGCAGTGGTGGCTTCAAGATTTCTCTATAGACCCTCGGTGGAAATACTATATAGACAAATAAGATCATAACTGTATACTCGGGCGGCCACTCTCTCTCTTTATATTTATGTGAGAGAGAGAATGAGAGAGTAATTTGAAAATTTAGATAGAGGGAGAGAAGGCCAGAGGACAGGCAGTGGCTCAGTCGCTCAGAACGCCCACCAGTGACCAGATGCCAGAGGTCAGCTTTGACGCTGAGGCCCAACGTGCTACGGCCTGCAGGCTGCAGCCGCGAAACTAAACAGTTGCAAAAAACATACGGGTATTTATTAGCTAGTATGCAAAAAATACCTTCTGTGCCGGTTCGGGCTGTGGCCTCTCTGGCCTGTCCGCCTGTGCATTTTTAAAAAATGTGCATTTGTATGTGAGTGACTATGTGTATTATATCTCTGTTTTGTTTTAAAAACAAAATTCAAAACAAAACCAAAGAAAAAACAATTGTTTTACTAAAAAAATGCTAAACGAAAAAAAACCATAATGTACATAGCTGCTACGAACCCTGTTTTTGTATTTAGCTAATATTTTAGAAAACAAACAAAACAACCCTTGCTATAGAAATATATTTCCCGCCACAAACCGCCCCCACCTCCACCCCCTACGCCTCACGAACCCACATGTCACGGACTCACGGCCTTACGGCTTGTAACGATCAGCACTGTCATTAACCTTCTCAGATACAGCTACAGTTCAGTATACAAAGGAGAACTATAGAATGACAGGTGTCATGAGGTGACAAAAAAGTTCATTACATGACATATACTCAAAACTAACGCGTGAATACATAAAACTCGTGGATGTACAATTTGTACATACATATAAAACCCTCAGTAGTTTTAAGGTGTAAATTACTCTCCACTTAGTATATTAGATGGTTCTTTATGTTAAAACAATAGCTCTGTAAGGCCACAGTCTGAACTCTATATACACACGCGTGACAGTGACGATTGACGAACTGACTGGCGACACTATTCATTTGCATTGATTTCAAATAAATCCAGTCTACATTCTACACTCTACAGTACACTCTACGACAATCTTGAGTCTATCTACCAAGAAGCGAATACAGTTCAGCGGTCTTCGCATTTCGCAACCTGTCCACCTTTTACTTGACCGCTTCGATATATGTCCCTTTTCTTTGGCGGCAGATTATACCTTGATGTCCACTACAGATAAAGGTTATTTCAATTGGTATGGAAACAATACCATACGCTTGATATCAATCAAACGCAGTCTTATTTCTATCGTATACTTTATAGGCACGCGGGCATATTGTAACAACACATACGTTTCGTTTCCTTATTACAAAAGCACTCAACAGTACTTCAAAAGACAGAATGTCACAAATACACGCGCACAGCTTTTGATATACACAAAGCTACAAGCCTACAACCACGACTAGCGCAACTGAACGCAAGTATAAAAAGTTAGACGTTGATAAGATCGCACGAATCCTTTACATATGAAAAATATGGTATACGTGTTACATATTAATGTGGGAGTCTGGGACTCTGGGACACCAGGAGGCACCAAACATATGGTCGGATCGACTGAAAACCTATTGGCCAATCAGATGGCCTCTGAATATGTTCTTTCGATAGATGTCATTTGTTTCTGAAGTTGCGAGGACCCACTGTATTGTTTTTTAAAATAACTAAAAAAAAGACCGCTCAATAATAACCAATTGTTTTTTTACAAAATAAATATACTGTTTTTACTGCAGTCCGAAATACCAGAGATATTTTGTAATAATAAAATATTGAGATACACGGGGCCCCGGTGGCATGGGTCTACAACTCTACAGTCTACACTCTAGTCTCTACAGCAGTTTGTTTTGGTTTGGCGTATTTTGGCGAGTCGGTGCAGAGTGCAGAGTGCAGAGTGCAGAGTGCAGAGTGCAGAGTGCAGACTGCAGACTGCAGACCCAGCGACGCCAGTTTCTTACAAAATACTAAAATACAAAAAAAAAATACTCTACACCCTGTGGCCTGTGGCCTGTGTATAGTCTGTGTAGTGTGTGTGTGTACGAGAGCGTATTTAGGCCGTAGAGAGTAGTGAGTAGACTTCGTCTCATGTCTCTGGAGTCTAGACTCTGGAGTCTGGAACGAGAGAGTGACTAATTTTTGAAATGTTTTTTTTCTTCTGTCCCTGTAGTAGTCTCTGACTCACTCTCGCTCTACTACTATGTAGTAGAAACTAACCTCAAGCCGATTTCCGATAAACTTTTATAAATCGATTTAATATACGGTTACGTTCAACTTTTATTTTATATACGGTCTTTTTTAAGCTCATAGGTGTAATTTGAGGGTCTAAATATTTAAGTGACAAACCAGTCCTATAAAAGAACTTAGGTAGGCCCTACGTTTTAAAATTGTATAAATATGCGTTTACGCTCAACTTCTATCCCATACCCCCATAACGTTATGAGCTTAGACTAGAGAGAGAGAGAGTAGAGCCTGTATATATTTAAATAGAAGAGATATTATTACTTTTTTTATTCTTCTTTTTTTAAAAAACAAATATGAAGTAAAACTTCTATGTATTTACTGTACTTCGTCCGAGTGTACGTTCTAATTTTTTTTTACAGTAAATATTTACGTAGTGTTTTGTTGTTTTTGTTTAAATAAAAAACAACATTATACAATATGTAGTCACAAGAGAAGAGAGAGAAAAAACAACCCCTGTTTCTTTATTTAAAATTAGACACCTCCCAATTGTCCAAGTCCCGTCCCAATTTGAATTTTTCAATACGATTTTGCATTTGTATTAATTTTTTATGGATAAAAAAATACAAATCGCCCAGTTCTCTCTCACTCTCTGAGATAAAAGTCTAAAAGTCTAAAACCAGCCCCTACTAGCCTGACAGCCTCCCAGTGGCCAGGGCGCCAGGCCCCGCCGCCAGCCTCCAGTGGAGTACTGGAGTCCAGGGAGTATGCAGGCAAAAGTCACAAAATGTAATTGTTTTGCTATTTGTTTGCTTGTTTTTAAAACCAAAAGTCCACTATTTTTTGTTTTGTTGGATTTGAAAAAAACCATAGCCTTCTGAAAAACAAAAAACAAAAAGATATCATGATTTTTTTTTCAGCCCTCTAAATTATACAAAAATATTAAACGAATATCGGCTTGAATATACAGCCGCACGAGCGGCAGTGGTACATTGGTATGCTATCAGATAAATATCGAAACTCCGAGAGTCGAGTTGAGGCTCAAGACTCGGAGACTCGACAGAGGTTGAAAATGGGAAACAATTGCCATATATATTTAGCTGAGAAGCAAACTCCTGCGCCAGTTCACAAGATCGATATTTATTTATTCAACTTTATCTGTTTATCCGTGGGTAGACTATAAATATGTGGGAGAGAAAAAAGCGCTACATGTACGTGCAGGTACCCATATTCGCCTCAACATCCGAAGGCCTTTACAAGAAAACTTGCACCGCATATATACAATTCAAGGGCAAGACTGCCACGCGCGAAATTCGAATCCCCGAAGATCACAGTCAACCTGTTCAATGTATCTATGTGAAAGACGTTAATTGTGCAATACAATTGACCAAAAAGACTGCTAAGGATCTCGAGAAGTATCCTGAGGCGGTGATAGATTCAGAAATTTTTCTTAGACTGTGGCGTTTACACAGGGGAAAAGAGAACGACTATGGAATTCAGCTATACAACAACGGTACAAGCGCTATGCGTGGCGACGCTGTGAAGTTGCGCCAGACTATGAGTCACAGCATAAGGATGGATACCACCCCGGAAGGTTCCATTGCAGACATCAATGGAAAGCCAGCACGCACAATTTCACTTCAATTACTAACATACGGTCGGAACAGATTAGGCGTCAGGGGTAGCAGTTCTGCAGATATATCAAGTCAATCGGGGGGATCTAGTCTTATGTCTTCCTGTACATCTAGTACAACAGGAACATTAGACTCGAGCACAAACATGTCGCAGAATCATATGACCATAAATACACCTGAGAGATCGGGGACACCCTTGCTAGGTCAGCAGATCTCACGACAATCACAACAATCACAATTGTATGCTGATGAGCACGAGCAATATGTTTTCAACTTGTTACAGAGTATTAAAAAACCGCACACGATTGAGAAGCAAAGTGGGCTAGACTTCCGGGATACTATTCCACCGCCATCGAGGTTGCCGCCGTCGATAAGTGGTCTTCTGAAGTCAAAATGAGCAGTGCCATGAGAGACATTGCGCACGTGACCAGGTACGGGGAGGAGAGTTAGTAGGTTGGGGGAAAGGTGTGTGGGAGGATTGCGAAACCTCTTCATATTCATATTGGTCAACCGCGAATAGGATTTAGTAACGGCACTGCTAAACGAATGTATGCACTATGTGGCTGTTAGGCAGAACTGCATTATTTCGGGTTAGTTCAGCTAGTGAATACACCAGTGAGTTTAGGGAGCGAGATTGATCGGAAGCAGATGACTGCGCTTTTTGGATTGGTACTTGCAGCAAAATGAGACCAATCAGTAAATCATTTGCGTTTGGTGGTAGGCTATTTAAAAAGCTTGTATATCATGATTTCAAAGGCAGTCTACGGGGTACGGTAGGCTGGGTCGATCTCAAATCGGAATAGTACTGTACGTCGATATATTCATAAGAGAGCATTTTCATACGAATCTATATAAGTGGAGCTGATGAAGGGCTGTATCTAAATAACGGAAAGAAGTCGCTGGTGCATTATACATTCTGTAAAACTAGCCTGATTACGTATAAATTTTAATATAAACTATGGAGTAGAGACCCATGGAAAGTGAGCCAGCTTGTTTGCCACGAAAGATCAGTACATAAAATGCCAGATACACGAACTAACGACAGAGGTAGCGGATATACCAGTACATAATTTGTTGATTGGTGAGATGCATGTTTTACCTAGTCCATCGGTGAGATGCATGTTTTACCAATGTTTACCAATGTACTAGGTGGAGTAGGAAACTATTCGCAGTAGGAGTACGCTGTTTATAGAACATGGATGTGCTACTGCTTATGACAACGCTATTGAAAACATCAGATCGAGCAGAAAATTTGACATTGAACGCAACGCCATACATAGAGTTGCATAATGTTTACAACGGCATTGTAGATGTGATAATGCGTTTGGCTAATCACGAATAACGTGCTTAATTATAAGGCGAAAAAATCAAAGGTCTGGACATCCAACTTGATATTGATAGCGCCGCTTCATTGACATGGACTATGAAAATTACCTAAACGCGACCTCGAGAATATCCGTACAAACAATCATTTACCATCTCTTGTATATATGCGTCTTATTCTCGTCTATTTCATTCAAATTCGTCGATTGTAGATGCCATCAAATATTACCTTCTATTTGATATCAAACGAATAAGCTAACATCTATATCTGAGATTATCGGTTCGTTATTGCTCACTACAAAGCAGTATGTTACACAATGCTTCTCAAACGCATCGAACTTCTTTGCATCCGGTTCCGTCGTCATGTGCCTATATCCTTTAAACAGAGAGAAATCAAATCGTTTTTCCACAGCTGGTCCAAGATTCCCGGCCACATCTGCTTGCTTTCGTATTTCCCACCCCGAATACGGGGGCTTATTCTTGAGCGTGCACCTGATTTCACCCCCTGGTTGGACCATTTGTTTCGCGCTGTAATTGGTATTCAAGGCAGATACACATTATGATTTGGGGCGTGTGAGAATAGGTATATTGTGAACTTTTGCTGGCAATGAGTATATCCTGGCTGTTATGCGCCTACAATAAATAGAAACTAATGTTAAATACGTGCACATGCAATATATATTTATACAATCATGTTCTTTGTGCTGACAACTAGTTCACTAGTTATGTTATAGCCTATCAAAATATATTTCTGTGCGTTTATTGCGTGTACCGGGAAAATCATATCTCGTATCTCACATGCGCAAAATAATCACGAATCTCAGCTGTTTGTTTGTGTGTCGACTTCTATCACTACATTCCTACATGATGGAAACGGACACGGACTACTGACCGCGGATGTGCTGGATAAATTATGCAAATACGGGAATGTGTAAACAGATGTCTAGTATGAGGGAAATCGACCATTATCTTATTAATTGTGTAAAAACGCTGATCAGGCATCTGAGAGCGTAGCTGACAACATCGACAAAGATTTGACAATTATGACCGGGCTGACCACGGCCAATTCTGTTTCTGTGCATAAACCCACAATCGTAGTTTTCACATGCAATCGTCAACAACGAAAATACCAAAAATCTTGATACATATTTGCAACCGCTGGCTTAAAAGAGTACTGATTAATAGTAAGAAGATAGCGCAACTGGGATTATTTATGACCGACGCCTACAACAATATATTCTGCGGGCGAGTCGAACAAATTCAATGTATACGCCTTTAGAAGGGATATGTACCTTATGAAGAAATCGAGGAGCAACTTCCTGTTGAGATGCACACGCTGCTTGCCCGTGTGTGGGAAGTTGAAAACAACACAGTCGAACTTTTTCTGTGATAATTTCTTTGGTAGCGTTTGCTTCAGCTCTGTCGCATCAACACCATGGGCTACAGCTCCTCCTTTCTAGGTCCAATCAGAATGCAGACGTACATGTAATGTCGGATCAAATTAGAAAGAACTTTGGTACCCGTATATATTCATAAGTGCGCAGATAACGCGTCAACCGGTCTATTTCATTTACCGCAGTCAAAGCGCGCTTAAAATCCATAAAATTGAATAAAAATCCAGGCTCCAAACGAAAAAATCACGCAAATTCACAAGTTCATCCCAGATACAAGCAGTGTGCAACGATTCAGAACACACGTAGAGCGCAGAGGAAAGTGCACGGCGAGCGAGAACCGTACCAACGATGAATTTCCTAAGAGATAAACATTAACCTTGTATATGGGATTGCGAACTACTAGAAATGATGGTTTCGTACGCCAGTTGATATACGCAACCTCGTACATCTTTGTAGCTAGATGCATATACTACACACACACCTGACAAGGAATAAAGAGGTAAACTCCTTATGTGATCCAATTCTCACGCAAAACAATCCCAAACCGTTGGCGACTGCGAGGAGAAAATAATAAATATATACTCCAAAATGGACAAGAGTGGGTAAAACTTGCATGTTTCCATGTTCCATGCAATATCACATAGTAACATACGGAGAGCAAACGTGAATCCATCTCCATGAATATATACATACAAATACATTTATTTGCGCATGGGTAAACGATGCATTCTTGTGCGTGAATATATATTTGTGCACGCGTAAACACTCTATGGGTGATCACATGTGACCGTTGCCTACCGATTCAATAGCTTGGATGTGCCGTGTTGCTCTCTCGCCATACTTTTCCGTCAGTTCTTTCGCTTTATCATAACTTGTGGCTACTATATTCGATCCCTTACCTACGAATCGGGATAGCTACTTGTGAGTTTGATTGAATTGAAGACAATCGAAGTATCTGGTAAATGCCGTTTCGACTATTGGAATGCACGCTTCCAGTCCTACCCTGATTTGTACATGCATTACTCCCCTTTATCAAGATACATCAGAGCGATTTATCGCTGCAAAAACATCTTTAAAAACGAAACGACGTACTTTGAGGCTTTCATGGAACAATGCAGACTTTCTTTTTATTTAGAGTGTATGGCACTTTCTGGGACAACAAGGATTTAAATCAGACATTGTGCTAGGCTGTGCTAGGCTGGGCGACAACGACACTTCACCGCGTATCACTATGATATCTATGTAACCAACTTGTAGAGATTACGTTTATATATCAATGTACAACATACCCTTGCAGTGCGATACTAATCCGGCGCTAAACCCAAAATCACCGTCGCCTACGACGAGTATTTTCTGGTTCGCTCCGTATGTGCACACATTGTCTTCATTATTTGATAACTTCTTCCTGCTTAATTCAAAGGTGCAAGATTTTAAATAACGTCTACTTGGACGAATGGGGATACTTAAAAGAACGCAGCGTAATCCTCGTGCTCATAGAAAGGACTACTATATAGTATTTAGAATTTCTGTATCCCGTAGCGCACTTGTACGTCACAATACTAGATTCAAGATATATATTGACAAAATTAACAACACATACAACGTTATGTTAATTCCAAAAAAAAATTCTCCACACAGTTTATACTGCTCTAAAGTGCGACTACCGATTCCGCACACACAAAAATGGGGCAACAAACTCATCCCAATGCACCAACAGCGGTCTATGTCATCCAAAACTCAGGACGAACAAATTTGCAAAACCAATACAGCTACAAAGATAGATACGACAATTAGAGCTGTCACTAAACTACTCAGAGTGCAGCCGCATTGTAGCATGACTCTGTCTACGCATCCCCCATATACTCGCATTTGACTACCTTTGAAAATCAAATCACACTATTGGATACATACCGAAAAGATTAGGTGAGAACAATTGCTGCATGCGACATAAGGAGCAAACAATGATTCAAAAAAGATGTACCTCTACACCTTTCATAACATATACGAGCAGATTCGCGGAACAGATGCGACATACCAATATCTTGCGGTTTGATGGCAATTTTGAGTCAATGATAAACACAAGCAATAGCATCGAACGATTCTCTACTTTAAAAAGCATACACACTTGTGCAAACATACTTTTGCGCCGCAACTACGTCCGGACAATCTCCCCGCCTCCTCGATTTCGAGAAGTGCTCGTCTTTATCAAGTATTGGTAGTTGACCGATACTTTGTGCTGGTAATTTCTCGTGTTTCCGGACTTTAAGAATCTGTTTCTTCGCAATTTGTTTCTTTTTTTTCTTGGCATTCGCCCTCTCTCTTGCCCCCATCGTACGTGTTGCTCACGACACTGTGAAGGACACAAACGGAATACAATAACTCTTCAATGAGTCTTATATATAAATACACACACACACACACATATATATATATATAGACATATATACATGCATATATATATATATATACATATACATATACATACACAGCCACAGACACACACAGACACAGACACAGACACAGACACACATGTATATATATATCTATATACATATATACATAGACACAGACACAGACACAGACACAGACACAGACATATATATATATACATACACACACACACACACACACACAC